AGGTCAGCCCAAAGTCAAGATGTACTTGGTGCCCAGAAAGCCACACCATGCTGCCCTGCCTTTGAATCCTGCTGTATTCTGGAGACAAACGGGGCAGAATATATTGTGGCACCTGAGGTTCTTGGCTAATATACTGCAATCTAGGTAACTCCTACTCCAGATGAAGGGAAAACGTGTTCAAAGCGTTCCTCTGCTTATGCAGCAGGATGGGTGCGCATGGTGATCGATTGACACGGGAGCAGGGCCCTTCCCCGGCATCTGCTGTCTCCATGAGAAGTGACAGGAAAGGGCAACAGCAAGTGAGGGTATGGGCTTAGAAATAATGTCCTGGGTGATTTGCTTTTCTGATGTACCCCTCCCCTGCTAGGTAGGGAGCAGGGGCTGGAGGTTAATGGTTTGATCTTTTTCTTCCTGTTTCTGTTAATTTGGCACTGGGTCAGAACACAGACAGAGGAGGAAGAATTAGGATGAGGTTTTCGAAGCAAGGGAACAGGGCTTCTGGCTTCTCCTCCTGCCTCTGCTACTGGGGCCTCCAGTCAGTCTCTGTTCTTTCAGTCTCAATGTCTACCCCTGTGAGAGAGGAGGAAGTCACTCACCTGCCTTGTGGCAGGTGGTTGTGAGTCTGAACTCACGGGTGTCTGTCCAGCTTGTTGTGGTCTGGCTGGGGCTGTGACTCCTGCATCTCTGCAGGGCTTGGACCAGGTGACCTTGAAGTCCCTTCTGGCCCTAAGATTCTGCGCTCAGAAGGGCCTGTATAAAAGCCACATATTTTTAGGATTGTGGTGTGTGATACCTGATGCTTTGGCTGGAGATAACAAGCATTTCGGGTGCTGTGCAGGGAGGAGTGCCATGCTTGAATGCTCGTGCTGGTAAAACACGCAGCATGCTGGCGGTGCTGTGCCCGCAGGAGCTGCCTCACTGAGCACCAGCTGCAGGCTGGCAGTGCTTGCTCAAAACACCCTGTCCTGGAAACCCTTGTGTGGGGTTTTCTGACTGAGGCAGGTGGCTCCTCAGGCCGCCGGGGTGGGTGACAGAAGGGAAAACACTGAGCTGTCCTCAGGGAAGAGCGCTGTCTGCCTTTGCTCCAGGGAGATGCTCGCGCACTCCACGTCTCATCTGCACAGCAGGCCTCAGAGTCCCGACAGCTCTGAGAGACCAAGGATCTGTGCTTCTCTGAAACTGGTGCCTGTGGGAAGTGTGCACGTCTGATCTGTGTCTGCATATCTGAAGACAGGATTTCCCTTGGGCACTTCACTTGCCAAAGGGGTGCAACACTCCTGTTCTGCGTGGGGCTCTACAGTGCCAATGGAGACCTTCCATACTGGGATGAGAGAGCCTCAGGCGTACCTTGGAAATGCAGGTAGCTTGTTGAGCCTTGTGCCTGCACCTCCACAGAGCTGCTGTGGTCCGGCCAGCGAGTCACTGAATCGTTTGTCTCCTTTCCAAACAGAAGAGCCCTCGTGGCTCCATGTTGGGGAGGGTAGTGGCTGCCAGTGAGGGGTGTGTGTTTGGGGGGGGGTCTCGTCTCAACCCAGCAGTGTCAGAGGGAAGTGCGGGTTCAGGACTCATAAACAAATGCAGCTGGTTCAGGGGCGGTCCCTGTGTTTCCTCCCCTCTCTCCCCAGGTGTCACGCAGCAGCTCTTCTTATTGGTAACTTGGGGTGCTCATGAGCTCCACAATCATCTGCACAAATAGCTGTTGCTCTGTTCATGCCATTTAAATCTAATTGGCATCTGAGGGCAGGCCAGGGCTTCCCTCTCAGGCCTCACTACTGCAGAGCAAGAAGAACAAGCCCAGAGAACCCACAGGAGAAGATGCAGCATGTGAATAGCCCAGGTCACAGGGCGAGCATCAAAATTGGGGCCCTCCAGGGGCTGTTGGATGGGTGTGAAGTGAGCTGGTTGCACTGAGTGAGTTTCCCGGCAGGAGCCCACATGCTTTTCAGGAATACCAGAACAGTCGGCACCGGCTGGCCATTTTTGGCAGGCCAGGATGGTCAGGGCTTGAGTGGATTTTGGAGCATGAACTCCCCTTTTATCCGGATGGGCCAAAGGAGAGGACAGTCGGCAGGATAAGAGGGTGGGCAGTGGCACTGCCCGTGTTGTGCCAGTCATGTGGATTTTGGGAACTGAGTCAGGAGGGTGGGGATGGGCACCAAATGCATTGGAGCGGCAGGCATGTGGAGCAGCACTAGCATGGACAGACAGAGAGCACAGTTCGGGCACTAACTAGAGCAGCTCAGTGCGAACATGGAGGTAGTTTGTCCTTCACAAAATGTTCCCTCCTGTCGGGAAGACCCTCAGGTTGGTGTTTCCGTCCTGGGCCATGAAGCTGCCTTCCCTATCGCTTGGGAAGCTCTGGGATGCTGCGTGCTGGGCAGACCAGTGCTGGGTGTCCAGCAGAGCATCCCTCCTGGCCAGTCTTGGTTGCCGGCTGTAGCATCCCACCATCATCTTTTATTTCATTTCCTTCTTTGGATCATCCTTTCAGGAGTTTCAGCATCTAATCTTGGTTCCCGAGCTGGGTTCCTGATGCCCACTTACTTCTCCTGAGTGCCTGAGCTGGCCCAGTCCCGAGCCTCTGCCAAAGGCAGGGTGCTGAGTTTTAGGGAAAGAGAATGAAAATGAGGGATTATTGGACCACAAGAGTCAGAAATATGTTTCAGTGTGGTGTGGAGGTGCCCAGCACTCCTGAGTAAAACTGATCCAAGAAAAGGATGGGGGAGTTGGGTGGATCTGCAGCCTGAGATGCTGGCAGCGAACTCCGTAGTCCTCAAGAGACAGCCCTTTGCTTTCTTTTCTGGGAAGCTGCGTGGGAATCGCAGCCACTGTTACAGAAGCTTTCCATTGAATTTCAAAGTATGAGCGATGCCAAGTGGGGCCCTGTGGCGCGGTGCTGTCTGGGGTCACCGTAACCCAGCGCTGCTGCAGGGAGGAGTGCCTGGGACCTGCACTGGTGCTGGAGAGGTTGTCTGTGGGCAGCTGCTGAGACCGGGGCAGCAGGAATCCTTCTGAGGAAGCAGAGGGCAGTGAAAAGGGATGTTCTGGTGGGAAAATCAGCTAGTTTGCTATTTAAAGGGGAAAAAACAAAACAAGGCAATAGCTTGGCTTCAGCTCCTTCCTTCCTCCAGGCTGTCTGATGCCCACAGTAAATTTCCAGCTTGCCTTGGCAGTGCAGGGCCTGGGAGGATCCGCTGCTTCCACTGATGCCTTGTTCCGAGAAGCCCAGACCTGTGAAGACGCGTGCAGCTTGCCAGTCCGGTACCCCACGGCCACCACTGCCACTTGCCAGCCAGGGACCTGTTTGTTACCCATGAATGCAGGTCCTCGTGTTTGCGGCATGGCACTTGTAGGAGAGGATTTTCTGCTTGAACCACTCTCACCTCAAGCCAGCCCAGTGACCTGCACCCGACTGGCCACTCCAGCTTGTTCCTCCGTTATCGTTGCAGGCAGTGAATTGCCACCATCATTGGGAGAGATGAGAGACAAGCTTTTGGACACAGAGTGTCTTTCCTCCGGTCCCAGCTGTGCAGGAGCACCTTGGAAAACTGAGAAACCGCTCTTTTCACCCAGCCTGCTCCCAAAAGGATCCCCTCAGCTAGGACAGCTTACACCCCTTGCTGAGAGATGGGCCAGCATCTCTCCCAGTGTATGCAGTTGGTCCAGTAAAACGGTGTTTCTCAACCTGTGGATCTTGACCCAAAAGTCACAAGAATATATGAAAGGGTCACAAACAGACTTTAAAAATATTTCAAAAATCTTTTAAAATTGATTCTCTTTTAAAGGAGAAAAACGTGGGAAACTGGGTTTTCCCTTGCAGGCTGCCAGTGCTCCACCCTGCAAGGGGCTGCTTGGGGTCCCCCCATGTCCCACACACCCACTGCCTGTCCTCGGCACCCACCCCCTGCCCCACACACTGGGGGGGCTGGGGCCTAGGAGGTGGGTCAGGAGTGAGGGGCACCGGGTCGAGACTGGCCATTGAAGTTTACAAATGGGTCCTGGTACAAAAAATGTCGAGAACCACTGCAGTAAAAGATAGCCGCCAAAATACCCCCACTTCTTATTTTCTGGACCGTTGTGCCTTCAACAACACTCCAGCCCTATACCAGTATAATGACAGCAGCCCAGTGGGGTCCTGATCCTGATTGTGTCCTGTGGGCACTAACATAGCTGCAAACAGATGTTGCATTCATCCAGGGGTAAGCCACTTTATCCCAGGACAAAGTGCAGTTGTACAGATATCCACTGTCCTGTGGGATAGATGCTAAAAGTTTCCCAGGTAAGAGGTAGAAACAGCTGGGCCCAGGATATCAGAAAATACATCTGTAAAGTTATCCCAAGATTGAATCATTGAATCAGTGGCAGAAAAGTGGTACTGCATTCAGCTGCTCACTAAACCCTGGTTGGAAAGGGGATGTGTACATACACCAGGCCCAAAATATCTTTGTTCCAGGACCAGCAGAGGCACCACTTACCCAGGGGTGCTCATTAGACACGTTTCTGTCAAACCAACTAATCTGCTTTAACGTTCCCAGCTCTGTCTCTCTGTAATAAACCTTCTTCCACCATTTGTGGACTGAATTCAAAGGCAAGTCTGCATTGGCATAAGTCAAATCTTCCAGCCCCTGTAGTAAGGCTTAAGATGAGGTAGACTGCACAAGGGTTACTTCCACTCCCGCGCCCTGCCAGGGCCAGCAGGAACAGTTAGCCTGCAACTGGCAAGTCATTTCTGGCTTTGGGACAGAATCTGCCAGGATTCGAGCAGATATTCATAGAAATATTCATATATTAAATCACATGGAGGGTCTGGGGTACCAGCAGTTACATGGCCTCATAACTCCTGATCATTGGAAGTGGACTGTCTTTGCTCCGAAAGTGCACATCTTCTCACCCCTCCGTGTGAGTTGCACTGTATTAGATTTACACACCATCCTCGTTAGAGGAGAGAGCTCGTCTGAAGCAGGATGACCTTCCTAACACCTCCTCTCCTTTCTCCCCAGATAATCTGATCAAAGCCATCCTGGCAGCAACCAAAGATTACCGCCTAACTCCAGCCCTTGACAGGTAAGATGAGATCTTTCGGGAACAGAGGGAGCTAATAGCCACAGCTCCTCACATTTCCAGAATGAGCCCTCAGGGGCCTGCCTCAGTGGGCTGGGAGCAGGGGATGGAGTTGTTGTCCCAGCAAGCCTGCTAACACTGGCAACTGGTTAGGTCGCAACCTCAGGAGCCAACATTTACATTTAGACTTATCCTTATCTATCGCTGCAAAATGTGTCGCACTGCCTGCCGCTGCCAGCTTGTCAAACAAGCGACTGACTGGGATTCAGCAAGCACTGTAACCCGTTGCCCCCTCCTCCCGTCCCTCCACCAGCAGACTCAGACCAAGGTATTCAGACAGAGAGGAGGGGCAGGCTTGTCCAGATCTCACTAATGCCTCATGCTTCCAGCTGGGATGTGGCTGGGACCCTCACAGGGGGATGGGAGTTTGGGCTGGCATGCTGCAGGGTGTGCATTCAGAATGAGCTCCTTTCGACTTCCCTGTCCTAGCATAGAGCTCCCTGCAGAAAATCCCCGGCAGTCTCTACAGATTCCTGCCCACAGCTGCTCCACTGGACTGGGAGATGGGTCTTGCAGGTTGCCCTTATACCTTCCATCAGGAGACGGAGCCTAATGCTTCCCTCCTACTGAAAAGCTGGCGAGGGTGTGGGAGAGAGGCCTGAAGAAAAGTGCCTGGAGCTCAGTCTCATAACTGAACAGGCAGAAATGGGAGCGGGTGATTTGATTATGGTGTATAAGTGCCTTTGGTGAGGGGGGAAGCAGTACTGGTGAGCTGCTGGACCTCCCAGGAGAACTGGTGGGTCCGTGTGATGCTTCCATGTCAAGCCTGGATGGGTTTCTGGAAATTGCTTTAGCTGACGACGATACAGGGGTAGCCGGGAAAGATATAATGGTCTATGATAGATGGCAGGTTGGACTTGATGATCTAATGATCTCTTCTCCCCTTAAGTGCTGCGAAATCTATTGATCTATTCATTGCTTAACACTGAAAAATGCAAGATTCTCCACCTTGGGAGAAAAAACCTGCAGAATCCTTGTAGGCTCGGCAGTGCTACGCTGACTAGTGCTACGGAAGAAAGAGACTTGGGGGTCATCATTGACCACAAGATGAACATGAGCCTGCAATGCGATGCTGTGGCTAGTAAAGTGACCAAAACGCTGGCTTGCATCCATAGATGCTTCTCAAGCAAATCCCGGGACGTCATTCTCCCCTTGTACTCGGCCTTGGTGAGGCCGCAGCTGGAGTACTGCATCCAGTTTTGGGCCCCACAATTCAAAAAGGATGTGGAGAAGCTTGAGGAAGTCCAGAGAAGAGCCACATGCATGATCAGAGGTCAGGAAAGCAGAGCTTACGACGACAGGCTGAGAGCCACGGGGCTCTTTAGCTTGGAAAAGTGCAGGCTCAGGGGTGATCTGGTGGCCACCTAAGTTTATCAGGGGTGACCACCAGGATCTGGGGGAA